TTTAAAAAATTATAAAAAAATAAATCATTATAAAACATACGGAATTTTGATATAGAATCATTAATTACGTATACAAATCTTAAAAAAAACGTATCATTTCCTTATTTCGATTTCTTATAGGGTATAATTAAGATATGGTGGTGGTGATCCTAATATTCCACTACATAATTCTATTTCATCTAAACTATCAAGAATATCATTAATAGCTTATGACAACCAATTGTAAAGATGTCATTCAATATATCATGTCTTACTCCAGACATAAAGCTTGTTTTCTTTTGGTCAGAAGTATAACCCAATTGATCTCCATACTTTTGAATTTTCGCCCAAAAAGATGTTACACTTTCATGTGTTTCTTGTTTTAATGTTCCAATTTCAAGCATTCTTAAATACTTATCAGCGGATGGAAAGTGTTTTTTAATTTGATGTAACCTTTGTCCAGATCGAATTCCTGCAAGAATAACAGAAACACCACCTTCAGCATTTACCGCAACTGGTCCTACATTAGTTGATCATCCTCCAGCTATTGTCCAATCTTCATCAAATCCTCGAGCTGGAATAATATTTGCACCTGCTAGGCCTAGTAGGACATTTGAAAAAGATGCGACCATTCCTATTATAGCTCCTGCATTAGCACTACAAATGGCCTCAATAGTAGCACCTATAGCAGAATTATCTAACACATTCTGTAATTCCCAGTTTTATTATCAAACTCTCTATAATACCACTCTCGCACTTCTCCCTTTACTAATCGGTCCAGTATATTGCAAATTCTTGCTTCATTATTTATATTTGCTAAATTGATGTATGCTATAAAATCATCTACATACTTTTTATGGTCTTGTTTGAAGCTACATAATTTAGGCATTACAAACCCCGCAGGTAAAGCCATGTTTATTAGATTTGGTGGGTTATTCTGTAGCACTAAAATTTGTCCCTGCAAATTTAAAATATTCTGGCAAGAATTTTTTTCTTTAGCCTTCCATTTCTCATATCGCTCATAGAGCCTGTCTCGATTATATTCTAATAGACCTATATCTTCTCTACTTCACTGTAGGTGGTGAGCATTTCACTAATATAATAATTGTAAAGCAAATTTTTTTTGTATTAGTTCACCTATACAGGTTTGCTTTCTTGCTATATTACCTATCATTCTATTTACTTGGTTTTGAGCATTAGTTTGATATTGATGGAGATCACCAACAACCGTGGCCATCCCTCCTTCAGCAAGTTGCCTTCGTATTATTTCATTATCCCTTTCAGCCTCTGCATCATAACGTCTTCGTTGCTTACAGACTAAATCCTGATGCAAATTATTCTCTTTCCGGCGAATTAGCCTTGTTACCCTTTTTATTTGATCTATTAGAATATCTCTAGCTGTTATCCTATTATCCACATAACCATCTATAACGTTTTCTAGCTCTGTGATTGTTGCCATATTATCATCAGAATTATACAAGTCTGGAGAATTACCTCGTTCAGGTGAATTTTTTCATGATGAGATGGTTCTAATCTGACATCGCAATTTTTCCACCTGCTCCTCAGATTCTACTAACTGCTTTTCTAAACTAGAGATATATTGTTCCTTATCTCGCACATCTTTCTTAATTTAATATAACTGACTTTTTGGACTGGAGATTTCAGATCTTAACTCTGCTATCTCTTCTTCTGAAGCATTCTCAAGACGCTCTATGTCTTTATTGAGATCTTGGATTTCCTGCTCATACCGGCTATATTCGCACTCCAGTTGATTAAACTGTTTCTTATTCAGGCGATTATTTTTTACCTCTGTCTGCAATTCACTACGAAGATGATAGTTCTCCTCCTCCAGTTTAGCTTTATGTTCTTCACATGTTCTTCTCTGCCTTAGGCGAGATCTGCGGAATGATATTCTTTTTTTTGTGATTATATAGAAAAATAGGAGAACCCTTGATTTATATCGCTCCTCATCTTGACCGAAATCTTGCTATATAGAAGCTGTATTATCAACCTGAAAGTATTTACCAAAATATTAAGGGATTATGAAATGCATGTAACAAAACTGAACATACCATTCTATTTACTGATGTAAAAAATGGCTTGATGCTCAAGCAATATATCAAATCTTTCGTCTTTTACCAAAGCATATACCTTATGCTAGCTATTCTAGAATCACAAAACCGAATTCTGTACACCGGTATGATTTGATCGAAATACCATATGATGATGTGAATATAGATTTATTAGACAATGGTCTAATCTTTTACTATGTATTGTTGGTTATAGATTGCATGACTAGGTATAAAGATTTCAGTTTTTAATGTCAAAAAGTAGTGAAGAAGTTGCGGAAGCTTTTAAGAGTATACTGTATATGATAACTCTAACAATCTCCTTAACTGGCCTCAAAAACTACTATGTGATAAGGGCACTGAGTTTATGGGATACGTGACTTTATTAATAGATAAGCATGGCGTTGAAATCCAAAGGATTATAGCATGTTTCATTCATACAAGCATGGCTATAGTTGATAGATATACTAGATTATTCAAGTTGAAAGTTTTTAAAAATCAGTATTCAATAGAGTTTCTCTTACCTACTGGTGAACGTTGTAGGGAATGTAAACGATTTGCAAGAAGAATTGTTGACAATATGAATGATACCACAACTCAGTTAATTGGAATGAGTCCTAATGATGCCAAAAACTTGACTGGATATATTCCAAACCATCAGTAAAATATAATCGTCCTATAGGCTTTGATGAACCTCAACTACCAAAGGGTACTACTGTCTGATTCTTACTTGCTAAAGGAGAATGGAAAAATGATCCTTTTGAATGATGCAGGATAACAGATCTGATATAGTTCTCTAGCTTACATAAAATCTGAAGAATTGTTATTGAAAAGAATCCTCTGATGCCTGTTTTATATTATTTAGATGATTCGGAACCTCAACGTTCCTTTGTAAGGAAACAATTAATGCATATTAAAGAAGAACCAATGCTTCCTTCTAAGTCGATATTGAAAGGTAACCGAATGTGTGCAAGGTGCTTTTTATAAAGTCTCTAAGTCAACAACACAATAAGGAATTGTAATGAGGATTACTCCTTTTTCATAACATAATGCCCTTTTTTTCCAATCACGCTGAATTTGCACATTTATATTTATCTGTTCTTCTAGATGAAAAAAAGGTATGATTTGGTAATATTGGTTACCATTATATTCGAAGGCCAAACCTAGTTCTTCATTATATCCATCTAAGTGTAAACCTTCTAAAAATTTAGGTTTTCAGAGTGTGAATTTTTTATTTAATAAATCTTTGAATATATACTGACATATTCTTTCCAGTACATTAGAGCAAATATTACACCATCTATGATTCTGTTTCATATTTTTATATGGCGTCTCCCATTGATGGCCACTTTACATATTCATAAATAAATGTTAGAATTACTACTAACTCTAGCTAAGCACCTTCCTTCACGTCTCTGGGTATATGCTAAAGCTTTAGTGTCAATTTTGTCTTGCATTTTATAGATGCAATAAAATATCACATATAGAAATTTGTGGTAGTGATCACCAGCTTCAGATTAATTTGATCTGAAGAATTAATCTGGATATATGCAAATCCAGGAAAGTAAAATTAAACTTGGTCACTACTATTGCATAAGTAAAAAATAAGTATTATCAGTATTCTTAGCGGAAAGTAACAATTTTGGCTAAGGGTACTTAACAATACAGCTTAACAATCTTGTCTATATATTTGCTCTTTTTATGTATTATTGATATCATCAAGTAAATCAATATCTTTTAACAATTTTTTCGTCTGTTTATAAAGATTTTACAATTGTATATGAAATTTATTTCGTAAAACAGAAGACTTAATAAGACAGGTGAGAATTCTTGTAAGATTATTTATATGGAATTTGATGACTATATGAACATTTGCAATTTCTTCTCCTGCTGTAATCCAATCATAATATGGAGTATAAAGAACTATATAAATACAGGTTATTTCTTGTTTACTCCAGTCTAATCGATATTTTATAAAATCAAGATCTTTATGAAGTTCCCTTTCTTTTTGCT